TTCTATATTTTCTTATAAAGTATCTATATTGATTACAGCTCTTAAAGGATTTTGACCATTAATATATTCATGAATCTCAGACAAGCTATATATTTTAGAAATATCATCTGCAATGGAAAACTTTGGGGCTCAATCACCATCTTGATTGATTTTAATAACTAATTTATCTTTCACTTCATCCCAGTTATAAGTATTATATAAATTAGACTCTTTTTCATTTGAAAAAAGAAATGAATAGATTGAAAGGTAATCCAATGAACCTTTATCATTTGAAATATCTCTAAACAGTAATGAAAGAATTTCCCAAATACTGTTTAATAAGTCCTTAAAAGTAAAATCATTATTAAACATTTCTTGTCTTAAAATATATGTTGTATTACTCTTTTGCTCTTGTATGTTTAGTAACTAAAATGATGGAGTTACGGTAATGCTAGTTGAAGTGCAGGAAGCTTCTTCACTATCTGACTTATAATTAGATCTGTAGATATTATAATCATCTGATTCACAATCAGAATTATTATTATTATAGCTATCTGAGTCACTTAAGTATTTATCAGAGCCAGTGCTATCATAGTAGGCAAAAGTTCTACAATCAATTTAGTCAAAAATAGTTAAGGTATACATGTCATTAGTTTAAAAAGGATTATATTACTTTATAAAATTTGGAAATGTTTAATTATTTTTTTGATAAATGCAAAAAAGAAGCAATATCAAACTTAGTCAGCAAATCATAAAAGAAATATAACTTGATATATCATAAAAATGTAGCCTTCTGCGTAATCTATTATATAAAAATTGATAGAAGGCTACATTTTCTAGACATGTACTTGGGTATGATATAAATGGGTCAGCTATGATAATACGTAATGTAACTGAAAGTGAAGGTATCTGCAGAATTATTATATAAAAATATGGCAGATGCCTTCACTTTTCTAGATATGTATTCAGATATAATATAGCCTTCACATAAGACTTATCTTTCCTAGATATATATCCGAATATAATATGAAGACTTTTTCAGAAATATTGGCACTTGGTTACTCTATTATTAGTATAAATTTAGAAAAGTGGCAATCAGATATATATCCAGAAGATAAGTCTTCTTCAGCTCCACTCTTGGTATCAAATAAGAGGTCAGAAGCAAAATTAAACATAGCTAGTAATATTGTATAAGTAAAAGTATTATCACTTATTATGATTTTTATTTTGTATATTACTATTATATTCCTAATCAATCACAAAATGAGAATAATGTATATATGAAATAAAAGTTATAAGAAGGTAATGAAAAATACTCAAAACTAAAAACACAGTAAAATTAACGAAAATTCTAACCAATACTATTTCATGATTTCAGTCAGAACTTTGGATATAATAATTCTGAATCCAAGCTAGTGAAATAATAAGAACTTCTCTGGCATTCTGACAGTTCCTCACTAGTTCCATAACAGCTCTAGAATATTACCAAATTGCTACCATAATGCTAGCTTGAATCTTCCAAATCATATGTTTTAAAGATTAGCTAAAATTATGGTATAGTGCCAGCTGAAATTAACCACAAATTTACTGTGCCACCTAACACTATATTTTTTTATCACATTTTGGTGTCTAGAAAGGCAACCAAATAGGTGCAAAGGATAAGTATTCCAATATAGAATCCAACATCCAATTAGATGCAAGAGGTTAGCATTCTTAACATAAAACCAGATATCCAAACAGCTACAGAGGAATAACAACTTTATTATAGAATTTAACATATAAATGACTCAGAAATAAGAAGAAAAGCGTGATATTTAGATTATATAGTAGTAGTTAGGTTAAATGGTGGATAGTAGTTAGATTATATGATGGTAAAAAATACAGATAGCAAGAAAGATTTAAAAGGATAGCTAGAGTATAAAAAAGATACCTGATATGCAAAAATAAATAGATTATATGGTAATCATTAGATTATATTATTTAGATCATATGAGGCCTTTGCAATAGAAAGGGAGGAAACTCAAAAAAAAATAAAAAATGAGTTAATAATAAATCTGAACAAATTATAGTATTTAGAACATTTTTGGCTTATAAACTAAAATTTTAATTTTTTTGGAGTTTCCTTCCTTTTTATTGCAAAGACCCCATATGGTGGTAATCAGATTATATAGTGGTATTTAAATCATATAGTGATATTCAGATTATATGGTGGTAATATAATCTAAGGCAAGTAGGATATCACTATGTAATATAATTATATTACATAGTAGTATTCTACTAATGCTTAAAGAATTATTATAATAAATAAATCTTTATTAGTTATCAAATCATAATATTCTCTTAATAATTAATTATTATTTTAAAAATAGCTATAGTTTATATAATTAAAAATTCAAATTATATATAATAAAATTTTTAAGCTAATTATTAATCTATTTACAAATAATTATATTATAATTTATATTAGAAAAAGAGTGAGTAGTTATATAACAATTTTTAGCTAATTTTAAGGATTTAAATTTGTCAAGCAATAATATAAAAGTTTTTCAACAATAAACTTTCCTTCTTTATATTTTAATACTATCAAAATTATTTATATAATTTTAATAATTTTACTTTTCAATACTTTAATATAAAGGGTATTTTTAGTCAAAATATAATTAAAAACAAATTTTAAAATAAAATAAAGTTAAAAATACTTTATTTTTATTTAAATATATTAATAGTTTACTATTAATTTCATTTAATTTTAAAGCAATATTCATAATTATTTCATAATTTAAATTAGTTATACATATAATTCATGATTTGTTAATATAAATATAAACTATAATTCTCAAATAAAGTTTTAGATTAATGATATAATAAATTAGTTAATTAATTGAATTTTGTATAAAATATATTTGAAATATATAGGACATATGTATAAATTATCTTAATTTTTATTTGTATATATACTTATTTTTATTTACACACATGTATAAATTAGTTTAATTTTTTGCAAAAATTACGTGAATTTGATTTGTGTATTTTATAACAAGTTTTTAACTCAGATTTTATTTATTAGATAATAATGATTTATATAAATAAAAAATTTCAATTTTAATAAAAAAATTTTGCAAAATGATTTTTGTACATATTAATTTAATTAAAGTATTATAGATAAAGTTATTATTATAAATATTCTGTAGTATTAATTAAATATAATAAAGATAAATAAATTACAAATTTAAAAATTCATTATTTATTTTATATCATTTTCTTTAAGAGATATTTATTATTAATTATATATTTAAAAATATTAAAATAATTAAAATTTTAGATAATATAATATAAAAATTGCTATATAATTATAAATATAAAAATTTCATATGCAATTTATAATTATAAACAAAAATTTTATTTATAGTATTAAATGATATATATCCTTAATTTATAACTAATTTCAAAATATTAATCTTATTATATTATAAATTTTATTAGAGATATTAAGTGATCCTAAATAGTTATAAAAGTTTTAAAAAAAATATAAAAAATTATATTTATAAATTTTTATCTATTATAATATTTTAATAAATTACTAAATAAAAATATATAATAAACCTTTTTAAAATCCTAAAATTTCTTAAACTTTAAAATTTAAGATTTAGAATTAGATTTTAAGAATCAGTTCTATATTTAGCAATCTTATCAAAATTATTTTATTATAAATAAATGATTAGATTTCTCTAGAATTAATAATCTTTTAAATTGTAAAGACTAATTAAGAACTGCTTAATATTCCTATTAAAGATAGCGTTGCAATTAGTTGTAACTAGTGATAAATAAGTATCACATAGTTGTAACTAATTGTAATATTAATAAAAATTGAGTTGCAACTAGTTGCAACCAGTGACAAATAAGCATCACATAGTTGCAACTAGTTGCAGCGCCATCTTTAATCCCTATATTTTATTCTATTATTTACATAAAATTATAATATATTTTAAGTAACATAAATTTTATTATTATTATATATAATAATTATAATAATTACAGTCAAAATTCAATATAATAAATTTGACATCTAAACTAATTAGGTCTTTATTATAAGAAAATTTATTATTACAATAATAAATTATTAATATATATAATAAATAATTTATTATAATAAATGTTATCTAATTAGACCAATTGAATAATCAATATAATCATATAATTATAAGTTATAAAATTTTTTAATTTTATCATTCTTTTTTATTCTTCTTTTATTTTTTTTTTTAATTTATTTTTTTATTTTTTATATTTTTTTTTATTTCTCTATATTCTAATCTTTTTTTCTTTATATTTATTTTTTTGTTAATTTAATTAATATTTTATAATTTTTATTCAATTTTCCTTTTCTTTTCTAGTCTTTTTTTTACTTTTATTTTTATTTTTATTTTATTTTTAATTTTGCTAATTTTTTACTTTTGTTTTTATTTTTATTTTATTTTTTTATTTTTAATTTTGCTTTTTTATTTATTTTATAAATATTAATTAAATATTAATAAAAATTTAGATTACAGTCAACTCTTGTTATCAATCACTGGACAAATCCAGTAATACATAGATCAAGTAGTGATTAACATCGTGCATGATCATAATTTACTATTAATTTTACTATGAAAATTGAACATTTTTAACTATAATTAAATATGGTGATACATAACTGGCCAAATAATAATGACTAAATTAATCTTGAGGTTTCTTTTGACATTTTCTCTTATACATATTATTAATAAAAATTTTCTTGTTCAAAAGGATCTTAACTATGAAGTTGATGTATTATTCTATTTTATATATAATAAACTTCTGAAATCTAAACTTTTTACTCTCTAAAAACTGAATTTTTTACAAGGAAAAATTGTTCAAATAGCATAAAATTTTATTTTACATTATTTTTTTTTAAGAATTTTCTCTTTTTTTTTATATCTGTCAAAGCCGATCAAAAAAAGCTTCTAAAAATAAATATTTTTATCACGATATGCTCTTCACGTTTAATGCACTTTTCGCATTTAGTTCAAGAGAACTTTGGCCATAAAATTAGTATAAAAATCATACATAAATTTTTGAATTTTGAAATATCTTTATATAATATTTATGAAAACATTCCAGAGGCTTCAAATTTAGAAATTTTTGAAAACGAAATTGAGATTGATGAATTAGAAAAGCCAGCTATTTTTGCTTTGGACGAGAAATATTTAACAAAAATTTTTGACAAACTATATATAGAAGATACGAGTGAAATGGACAGTATATCTACTGATGATGATAATGACTTAATATCAGAATCATGTTCAGAAGAACTAATTATTGAACAAAAAGAGTCTAAGATTTTAACCCATTGTGTCATTGTTGATAAAATAGATAGGTGTATTAAAAGATGTGAAAATTCAAAAAGTTTTTGAATATTATGGCAGCTTTGTGATATATAGCAAATAGATGGAGAAAGTATTGTTGAAGTAGATGGTGTATTGGAATAATTGGGTATTTGTAGTTACCATTTTAATCATGATCAAAAAATCTTCATGATCTGGGTTTTAAAAAAACAAAAAGCACAGGTCAAAGTATACTTTATCGAATAAGATGTTTATTTTGTGGAAAACTTTTTTATTTTTTTACACAAAGTTTAGGATGTGAAAAACATTCATGGAATATAATTGAAAAAAATATCCAAGTAGTTTGTAATGATCAAGTTAATTGTAGTGCACTAGAATCATATGATTCTGTATGTGAACATCATAATGAAGTTAAAAATCCATGATATGTATGTTGTAATTGTTATGAACGTGAAGGAGGACATCTTCATATTAAACCAGGAAGAGGAAGAGCGATGTTATCATGTTGTTAAATGGAATAACTTTTGAACTAATGATCAATATTTCGATGGAAATAGTATCATTAGAACCGTCTTGATGAGAG